CCTGGCCAAATTTGCCCAGTGGCCTCTGTCCATCATGGCCTCCTAATCATCCCCATATATATATATACCAATTGGCTTCATCACTGTCTCCTCTCCACCAATAAGCTGGTGTGTGGTGTGCGTTCTGGCGCAATATGGCTGCCGTCGCATCATCCAGGTGGATACTGCACATTGGTGGTGGTTGAGGAGATTCCCCCTTCTATGTATAGTGCTTTGAGTGCCGAGAAAAGCACTATATAAATGTAATGAATTATTATTATTATATCACAACAGTCCTCCATTCCAAAACAAAATATTGTTAACATTTAAAAAAAAAAAAAAAAAAATCTGACTATCAACATGAACATACTGTACATATACTCATTCCCATTATTGAATATCACACAAGGTTATTATCATCATCCCTACACGTCACATGATTAGACATTGCAATGCATAAACAACATTTGTAGTAAACATTTATAAAAAACAATTGAGAGTATATTCCTCATTCATACCCAAAGGATATAGACATTTTAGGTCAAAAATCCATTTACATTCCCTCTGCAAAAGTCTCCGCTCCAAATTACCACCCCTACGTAACTGTGTTATATGTTCTATGACAACGAAATCTAATTCCAAGATCAAATGGGACATCTCATTAAAATGACGCGCAACTGGAGATTTTTGGTCTTTCCTTCTGATAGCGCTCATATGTTCAATGATACAAGTCTTAATTTGTCTATTTGTCTTACCTATATATTGTTTGTCACATGGACAAGATAATAGGTAAATCACATTGGTAGAAGCACATGTAACAAATTGTTTAATCTTATATGTCCGGTTCGTTATGCTACTGCGAAAGGAAAAACATCTTCTACGGATGTGTCTACTCGCCGCACACTTAAGGCAGGGGGAAAAAACAGTGTCCTTGTTAATACGTCCATCAGGACTATTCTTTATGAAAGTGTCGGATTTGACCAAATAGTCTCTAATGTGTCTCGCTCTATAATGTGAAAAAAGAGGCGTATCCGCAAAAAGACTCTCGCCCACTGGATCACACTTAAGTATATACCAATGTTTTTTACTCACATTCTTGATCGCTTGACTATGCGCAGAATAAGTAGTGGTACAGACTACAGAGTGGGACTTCTTTTGTTTGTCCGATATATAGGACGATTTTCGTGCTTTCTCCAAAGCGATATCCAGCCATTTTTTCAGATAACCCCTAAGAATAAGCCGTTTATACATAATCGCCAATTGCTGTTCAAAATCTGATTCTACACTGCGTATTCGTTTCAGTCGAAGAAATTGGGTATAGGGTATTGGGTATAAGGTTTTTGTATAAAATCTTTTTTCTGCATTTACATGAACTACTGATTTGTGTAGCGTAGAATTACTGTTTAAAAGTTTGAGGTCTGTGAGGTTTTTATTGTCTCTTATGCTCACCAAGGCTGAATTTAATCAAAAATATATATTAAAAAATACATTGTTACAATTTAAAATAACTGTTTTCTATTTTAAATATTTTCATTACTCCAGTCTTCAGTCGCATGATCCTTCAGAAATCATTCTAATCTGCTGATTTGCTGCTCAAGAAAAATGTATTATTATTATCAATGTTGAAAACAGTTGTGCTGCTTAATATTTTTGTGGAAACTGATACTTATTTTTCAGAATTCTTTGATGAATAGAAAGTTCTAAAGAACAACATTTATTTCAAATACAAATCTTTTCTTAAATTGAAAACATCAATTTAATGCAACCTTGCTGAATAAAAGTATTCATTTCTTATTTGTACTCACCCCAAACTTTTGAATGATAGTGTATATATTAAGCATGCGTTTTTTTAATATTCATAAGCCAAGACTTGCTAATAACATATATAAGTGAGTATATGATATATAAAATGTTACTATACACAGACAACAATGTAACTTTTATGTTTAGTGGGAGGTAAAAAATTGCATTCGTTTATTTATTTGATAGGGACAATGCATGTTAATGAACATTAGTCTAAAATACAAAATGTAAACAAGTTGGATTATAGCAACATTGCTAAGTAACATCCATATTCCCTAGGCAGGTACATACAAGGATATACATAAAACACTAATAGACGAAAATCCCAAACACATTATTTAAAATGTCTAAGTAAACTTTTTACACATCTGGTTCAACATAAGCCACTTTTTTAAGGTGATGTTTAAAAGTGTAATATGTAGAACACTGTCTTATTGACTGCGGTAAGCTATTCCAATAATTACTCCCTATTACAGACAACTTTTTGTCCAAAAGTTGTTCACCTAAATGGCACCTCGCAATCCACTCTAATGATAGACCTAATGCCAATACCACAAATTTTTTTTTCTTATAAATTCATTTAACAAAGGTCGGGGCAAGCCTGCAAAATGCATTCTGACGTTTTGTGTACATGTTACTCCAGGTGACGACAAACAGTCTGGATCTTCCTTTTGCTGCGTTCGCTCCAAGAGTCTATGACCTGGAGGAGAACGACCCAATGGTATACTTAAGCAAACCCACTACATGTCCTTAGCTTGCAGCTGCGTCCTCCACTGTCTCTTCATGTTTTTCTCTGTTTGCAGGTGCACCCTCCTCCATCCCCGGCCCCTTCATCTCCTTTGCAAGGCAGCCTGCACTCAAACAGCTCGAGCCACAGCGGGGGACAGCCACAAGACGACTTTGTCATGGTTGACTTTGTAGGTGCACCACAACATGATATAAAAAAAGAGTTATCAAGATCTACTTTCTTCTAGAGATATTGAGAGCTATATTGCAGTGAGCACATTGAAAGGCACAGCATTGAGTGAATGGGGACTGATCAGAATCATTAGAGAGGTTTGACAGCAAAAGGGAGTTTATCAAGCCCTTCACAGAGCATCTAGTGATCCAGACAAGTCAATAATTCATCTGAAAAGAAGCTTAGACTCTGACCTGAGAGAAAGCTCCAGATGATTGATGTTTAATAAATCTAAAGAAGACTTTACTCTTCTGCATTTTTATTTCATAAGTACAGTGTTAAATGATGCAGTATCCCACGCCAAATGGACTCTTTTGAAGCTAGTGAGTGTTGCCTCAGAGAGGCCCAAAGAGACCTGCTTGATCATGTTATTTTTTTAAGTATGTTATGCATGACAGAGCATAACTGTGTTTATCAGAGCTATTGATTATTGAGCTAGAAAATCAATCCAAATGTTACTAGAGAGAGAAAACCAGAAAATACCATCTTATTTTGTGTGGGCGCGGGGACATGAGAATTGGACTATGAAACCAATTGTGTAAACAAGCAAGTATTTATTTAGTCAAACCTTCTTAGAAGTATAAGGTAAAAGACAGATATGGTTCATATTGTGTTTAAAGAACAGTTCTGTGTTCATGTGTGCCGAACAGAAACCAGCGTTCTCTAAGGATGACCTTCTGCCAATGGATCTAGGCACTTTCTATAGAGAGTTTCAAAACCCTCCTCAACTCGCAAGCCTTTCCATCGATGTCAGCGCTCAGTCTATGGCTGAGGACTTGGTGAGAAACAAACACATATTCGCGTCACAGCACATTCTGGACATTTTTGCAGTCTAAATGGGAGCAAGAAAGACATGTGATTATACATAGGATAGATTTTTTAGCACCAAACCAGGGTTGGTGTTAAAATCATAATTGAAACAATTGAATTGTGTGGATACTAAAATTAAGAACTATTAAATAATTGCGCGTATTATTTAAGTGTAGTTATTTTAGAAACTGAATCTGTATACAAACTATATATACTGTAGGGTGACTGATTCATTATATTCATGTCGTAGTATGATGTTTTAACATCTGTAACATTGTGATGTGTTTATAGTTAAATGTTTGGTATTTAAATGTTTGGAATGTATTTGAATTTGTATATGAATGTATTTTTACAGGACTCTCTTCCAGAGAAACTGGCCATTTATGAGAAAAACATTGATGAGTTTGATGCATTTGTGGACACCTTACAATAGAACAGAACAGAGATTGCATCCTTCACAACCGCTTTAATCGTCCTGCTTCCTTCACTGAGGCGTCGATGTTTTCATTAACAATGTTTTGTGTCAGTTTTACCATGTGCAATGGTCTATGAAGAGAATCATCATTAAGGAAAAAAAGTGAACTGAGGTAAGGTATAAGATGAATCCACTGGCTTAGTGACAGCATCTGTTAAAGGAAGAGCAACATTAATTCTCCCACCCTTGTATTTATTAAGATAGCAGAACTGTGTAAGTAATGCTCACTGTAATGAATGTATAAACCTGTACCAGCCTTTATTTTTGTTTTGCTCATCCTGACAACACATCCAGCACACTGACACAGATTTCTGAAGTCTTTACAACATCAGTGTGAGGGAAAATCTGAGAATATGTCCAGTTTTGTTTCATAGGCTTACACATGAATGACACTACAGTGAACATTGACAACAGTGAATTGTGAGTCTGTCTGCTTACCTGCTTCCTGTAAATGCATTTTACCATAACTTTTCAAACTTTCTTTGAGTAGGGACAGATTATCATTACTACTTGTCAGATCTTTGAATGGTGAAGAATGTTTTTTTCCTTGTCTTTTTTTTTAAAGCTTATGTTGGCAAGTCACTAGGAGCTGGACCTTCTTTAATTATTTTAAGTGTCATCTTTCTCCCCCTCACTTTGTTAATAAGGCATGTTAATGTTGTGTAATAAACTGATTTATTTCACACAGCCTATTTTTTCTCTCTCTCTCTGTCTCTCACTCATAAATCCTGAACTGGTAAAGAAAAAATTGCGTCTCCTTGAGGCAAACTTCCAGTTCCTTTAGCGAATGAATTATGTTAGCTCGACGTTCACCCAATAGAGAGGCGAAGGTTTGTCTTATTAATATTAATTAGGTTGCGTGACTGGAAGGCTACCAAGGAACCTATGCAGTGGCTATTTGAAAATTCATGAGCGCAATAGCACAAACACACGCCTACTTCCATATTAGGATAAGTTGTTTTTGACAGCAGTTGTGAAATGTTTTTCTATCGTCCATCTATCTGAACAACACCCATATGTAAAGCTGACTGTGCCGTCTTCCTTCTTTGCAAAAGCGGACTTCAAGCGCCTAAGTAAGTTTTAGTTAAGTTACTCTTCATTACTTCGGGTTACGTAAATTCACGTACACTGTCACGTATGTTTGTTTATAGTAGTACCCGTCAGATAGGTGTCCACGCTTTAAAATGTCGAGAAATAGGCTCGCTTAGCCAGTCGTCTTTATGTAATAATAACTTAAAGTGTTACGGAGCTTATATTTAACTTAAACATATTCCCCCCCAACAAAACCACCGATCACCAAAATATATGTGTCCTCCTCTCCTTTTTGGTGTTATGGAAATGGCCACCCTAAATGGGGAGCATTGGGGGTCTGTTTTGTTTTGTCTTTCCTTACTGCATAGTGAATGATGTGTATGTTTTGTATTGTGGAGAGCAAATGTTGCGCTCTTTTAGAGATCACACTCGGGACAGTTGGGAATGGGATCCGGACAGTAAATCTCCTGATGCTCATCTGTCTCTATGCCGACAGGCTGTGTATTTTCATGTCAGTCCTCTGCTGGACAGTCAGGGAACCGCAGGGGTCAGAGGCAGCAAAGGTGAGACTAGTGAGTGAATATAGCGCTGTTTTTGTTGTTCTTACGTATTATTGTATTAAAATTCAATGTTACATTTAATCAAGGTCATGCAGGCTATATAAACTTGTAGTTGAACAGAAAGTGCTAGTTTGCACTAAGCCTGGCGTAAGTTAATTTTTAACTAGTGATTGAAATGCTAATAAAGCTTTTATTATGCTCTAGTAGAGTTCTCGAGTACTGTATTGTCGTTTTGAAGATAACTGTCATATGTTGAATTTGCTGAATGTAGAGTAAGCTCTTTATTACTTCAGAATAACAAATATTTCTACATAAGGTTTCACCCATGGCGAGCATTACTGGGAGATTGAGTTCCTTGAGCCTCCATATGGAAGCTCTGTGATGGTGGGGGTTGGTACCCAAAATGCACTGCTTCACACAGGGGACCAAAGGTTCATTAACCTCATAGGTGAGTACAGTCATATAAATAGTCTCTGGTACAGTCATGTTTCTCTTAGAAATGCCCACCACATCATTCACCCAAATTTTAGGGAGACAATCAATGTGTCATGGCCAAAATCATCCAGTAGGATGTAAATAGCAAATAGGGAGCAGCAACAAAGGCTGATTCATTTAAATGAATTACACCATCTAATTATCAAACAGGAATTTTGTCCCATCAATGCCTCGTAGATTAACAAGGGAGGAAAGAAGAAGACCATACAAAAGAACACAATGCTTTTCTTTGAATCACTTATTGTTGAGTGTCCTGTTTCTTTCTTCAAAAAGGCATTGACAGTGAGAGTTGGGGTCTATCATACAAAGGCTTCATCTGGCATAATGGAAGGAGTCGAAAATACTCAGAGCCTTTTTATGAAAGAAATACAGTCATTGGGGTTCTGTTGGACTTGAGCGCTGGAACGCTGACGTTCTTCCGAAATGGAGTGAACCTTGGGGTGGCCTTCTCTGGCCTAGAGCAGGTAAAGAGGGAAACATCACTGCATAGAGTATGTGGAAGTACTGGATGTAGGTTATATATGGGTACATATAAATGCTTCTTGAAGTTTTTGTTCCTTGCAGGTCAGCAAGGCTCTGTTTCCTCTGGTGAGCTCTACTGCCCCTGAAACTGAGCTTCAGCTGGGTTTGAGAAGCCAGAGAATGCCCTCCCTACAGGAACAGTGCATATACATCATCACACAGTCGCTTTCACATTGTAGACACGCACACAAATTACCATTACCCACACCTCTGCTCTGTCAAATACACACACATGCACATTTATAAGCAGGGCATAATCTGTTTCTGATTCGTTTAGATCATGTCTACCTCAAATAACAACACAAATCTGTCCAGTGCAGTAGATTCATTTTATATGCAGCCCCTCTTCAAAATGTTTTTATTTTTGTGTGCTTAAATTGAAAAAAATTAAAATCAATTCAAAGCCTTTGACTGTGTGTGTATATATATACATAATTATTTAAATTATTGTACTTATCCTCTTTCTGTATCTGTATTCCTGTTTGTGTTCTTAATTTATAAGTAATTTCTGCACTTGGTGAAGTGGCAATGACGAAGTTCAAAAATACTATATAACTGTATTTATTATTAGTTTATTATACTCCCAGTGTCGTTATTACTGGAAAAATATATCTAAAAGCCAATAAAATGCCTGCTTTTATCTGTCCTTATCAGTTTTTATTTGCTCATCACAACCTGTAGATGTTCTAAAGCTTAAAAAACAAAACCACAAAAGGGGGGGGGAATATGACACCATCTCTAACAATTTATTACTCTGAATTCACAACATGATATACAAAAGTAAAGATTTCAAAAGCACAGAATACATTTTAACAGCCAAAATGGAAGAAAAGAACCTTCACAAAAGAAGTAATGCAAAGTTCCACCTGGAAACCAGAGAGATACACGTCTACAGCACAGGTAAACAGGTATGTGTTTGGATACAGATACAAGAGAATGGCACAAAGTTCACAGATCTGTCCAGAGGGGGAATTCAATTCAACAGCTAATATCATCGCCGGTTCACTCCAGTAAGGCACACAGACACGTGGGTTTGAGGGAGCTTGTCTAAAACTATTTAAGCCACTGGTCCACATGTCAATGCTCAGAGGTATTGACATGAATAAGACATTTGCATGACACAGTAAACAGTTACAATTCAATATCAAGGCATATGACACAACTCGTTAGTGCTAAATTAGTTAGTACCCAAGTACCTGCTTTATGGTTATTTTGGACTTCAGATCATGAAACAATTCTCCTTTGTGCGAAATCCTGACAGTTCATATCCATTAATTATGAAATTAAAGCGAAGGGGAAACTCCCACTCAACATACAGAGCCCCGTGATACAACTGGAATGTCGATGTACTTACGTCTTTATGTACTCGGACATCAGCAATAACTTATCGCACTATGATATATTTCTTCATGGATAAAACCACAATTTCACTAAGAGGACAAAATGACATCAAATTGTTGTTTGCTATTCCTAATCTTGTTTGGGCTTCTGTTTCAAATGTGCCCATGTGTAATGGCACTGTCCCTGACAGGCAGTACATCTTCTAATTACAAATAAAATTTACCACAACCATTTTAACCACATAATCTTTGGCCAAAATAAATATTTCTGGGGTATAATATAATACAACAGCATTACTGAAAAGACCACACACAAAATACACAAAACTCCACACATACAGAGAGAAGGGTGACTGTTGGCAGATATATATATATATAATAAAAAAATCAGCTGTTTCAGCATCAGGAAATTTGTGCTGGCCATAAAAGTATCTGCCCTGTTCCTGTAACCACTGAGACACTAAAAAAAGATGAAACGGATAATAGAAATAATAATATAAATGAAGTGTGAATGAAAGATCTTTGAGACCATACATAATACCATATATACTTCATGTAATAAGAAAGAAGCATGTTTAAAATAAGTGTTTCAAGTTTTGTGTAGTAGTGCTTTATACTTGTCCATAGCTTATCCCAGCTATGGCTTACAAAATAGAGGACGTGTGCATTTAGTCTAATGTTTTTTTCTCTGAAAAATGAACTGAAATTAACTCGCATCGGTCAAGTCGAACAAACAATATCCAAAGTACAGCTGATGAACAAAAAAAAAAACATGGCTGCCTGTACTCCTTGTTGGTTTATTGATTTAGGCCTCTGCTAACAGACCTTATAAAACTGTGCAGTACCATTATGTCTGACAGCAGAGCTACATGACTTCTGCAGGGGAGATTGTCATGATGTTGAGAATTTAAAAATCACAGCCTAAACTTTTGTGATAGCTTGACAGCCCTGCGCCTTCTAGTATCCTTTTCGTGTAGCTTCACCCAGTTGAAACACTCATGCATTTGACAATACTGAGGGAGACACGAAGGACGGGACACAGCAGAGGGGCAAAGCTATGGAACAGGGAAGGGACAATAACCAGGGTGGAGTCAACGTGAAAAGTTCTCCTGCTCCTCACTGAGCGAAGACCTCCTGATGTAGGTCAAGCAGGATGCGGGTGAAGTTGTTGATTGGTCCGATTGCGCTGAGTGTCATGGAAGCATCCTGCCCCCACAGCAAGTTGGGCCCAAACACCACAGCCAGGTTGGCATTGGTCATCTTATTGACTTCACTCTCAGCAGATACCTGCACATCAATAACAATAAAGATCAGAAACACTAACTAACACTTAAAGGAGAAAGTAGGAAAGAAATACTGAGCAATATCAATTAACAGGGATATTTATTGCTACATTGAGGTTACCTGTACAATTATCAGCTATTTTTGTAAGGAAAACGTATAATAAAAAAATTGTGTTGGAATTTTTTTAAATAAAAAATAAATAAAAAACCTATTTTTAAAGTGCCCCTATTATGCTATTTTAACGGTTTTAAAGGTTTGAAAGTTTCCTACTATAAGTTTACATGTAAGCAAGGTAATAAATTTTTTTTTAAAGTTGTGATTTTCTCATAATATACACTGCATCACCTCATTTCTCAGTGACTGAAAAGGTTCAATAAATGATTCAGACTCTCTAAAAACCCATCTTTTCCAAGAGCCTACTCTGCTCTGAATGGTCAGATTGCGGGTCAAAGTACACATTGTTCGCAGCAGTGACCATAGGCTGGCATTATGCAAATGAAGTTATTTATTTTGGGAGACAATAACTCCACTTTGATCTTTGTAGCTTTGCAGACCTCTTACATTCATAAACGCCTATATTACACACTACATGAAAGGTAATGTCTGAAAAAGCATAATAGGGGCACTTTAAATATATTAGGGATGCACGATATATCGACCACATATCGATACCGGTTTTTTGATGTTATCGTTATCGGTCCGATAAGAAAATTGGGCCGATATATCAAAGCCGATAGATAGATTATTTACTTCAGTTGAGAGATGCGCGCGGTTCGCCATGATGGTTCTGAATGATTGGAATCACTTCGAAAAGGAAGATACAGTTCAGTGCAACATGTGCAGCACAAATCTGTCACATGGGCTTCATAATATTATAATAAAAACACGCAAAAGAATGTTGTGAATTGTTGTTCGCCAGTGTTTCAGCGCGACGAGCGCGTCTATGGAGTTTAGCCTTCATGACAAGCACAGTCAAGTTCTCTTGAGCATTCGCAGCATTCTGCGCCATTGTAAGTTGTAATATGTTTATTTTGTGTATATATATATCTGATTAATCTAATATAGGATGCGTTTGGTTGAGTTAATGAACGATGCAGTAGCGCTTCATTGTACCGGTGATCATCTTTGCTGTGATAATTTTTTATCATTTTAGCGTTGCGCAGCTCAAACAGCAATGCACATTTATAACTACATTATAGAACTGTCATATACATGCCATTATAATGAGAACACTATTGTAATAAAACGTTGTGAATTCTCTGTTTAGTTGCCGTTTCAGCGCGTTGTTGTGAGAATAGCGCGTCCAGAACAGGGATTAGCCTACATTATGACCAGCACAAGTTCGATTATGCATTCACGTCATTTTGCGCAGATAAGTCGTAATATAAAGTTGATGTAATATAAATATCTGATTAATCTCACATATGATGCGTTTCGTTCGTGGATTTAAACAACCTGCTAGAAAAGTTCTTCAGTTTTTGCCGGTGCTCGTTCTCTTCAGCTTCAGCGCGCGCAGATTAAACAACAATGCAAAACATTAAAAGCTATGATTGGGACTGTCATACAATTATAATTGTATTCACTATTGTAATACATTTGTAAATTCTTTGGGTTTGCATTCTTCAGCAACCATTGAGTTGAACCTTCTAGCAATCTACCTTCTCTTCAGCTTCAGCACGTGCACAGCAATGTCATTTGAAACAGTAACTAAGCTATTAAAGATGTTTACTATCAATGTTATATTAAAAATGTTTAATTTTTTTCAAAAACATTGCGTTATAATTAATAACTAACATTATTTTGTTCTCGTATTATTTTCATCAACGATATGGTTAAAATATTTTTTTCTTATTGTCCGTGCGGAGGCGATTCCATTTTATTGATCCATGGCACATGCATTTTGTTTCTTTATATGCAGCCCAATGTTATCCAATGACTTGTTTGCATTATTTATGTATTTTATTTTTGTTAGGCAATAGCTTTTTTGATAACACTTTACAATAAGGTCTCATTTGTTAATGCATTAACTAACAGAGAGCAATAGCCTTTGTTATTGTTAGTTAATAAAATATGTGCGTTCATGTTAGTTCACAGTCCATTGACTAATGTTAACAGATACAACTTTCTTAAAAATGTTTTATAAAATTGTTGGGTCATGCTAACAAAATTAAACCTTATTATAAAGTACCATTTTTTTAATAAAGAAAGTTGTCCATATGAGTGTAAAATTAATTTTAAAAGATAAGGAATCTTACACTGGTTCAAACTAGGCTATACTGTATTGTATATCTTTGATTTATGTTAAAAGTGTTTGAGACAAGGCTTTTAATGGTGAGCCTTTTGTTTATGTATACAGGCTATCAAAGTATATAAAAAATTTAATTTAGATATATCGGCCAATATATTCGGTTATCGGCTTTCAAATGTAAAGAATTATCGGTTATCGGTATCGGCCAAAATGTTCATATCGGTGCATCCCTAAAATATATATATATATTTTTTAATAAATTTAAAACATTAAAAATAAGTTATATTTAAAATTCTAAAAGTTAAATAAAAAAAAAAGTTAAATAAAAAAATAAAAAAACTTCTAAGTAAAAAATCCTTATTGTCGAACATTGCCGATTATGAGTATTACCATTACCTGAGCAAGGAACTGTATGAGGAAGCGCAGTGATGCATAGTTCTCCTCAGGAAGTGACATCAGCATGTTCCGAATTCTTTCTGCCTGAGACTCCGTATCAACATCTGATAACACACAAGGAACTGTAAAAAGTTTGTATGCAAAAACATGTTTTAGCAAATCAGTTAACAAATGTCAGTATAGGAGGTGTACAGACATGTACGTGTGTGTGTGTGTTTTCTGGAAGCTGCCGGAATTTGGAGGTGGTGTGCCGTGAGTGGGTTGTGTGTTTGTGTTCTCACTGTGGAAGTTGACAATGTCATTGTAGAGCTGGTAGGTGAGCAGCGGCTCTGGCAGTTCTCTGAGGAACATCTTTAGAATCACAGCTGCCAAGTGGACATTGTCCAGCTGAGTGAAACTCACTTCCTCTCCTATAGACGCACACACAAGCAACATTCTGAGGACTGATGCCGATCGATCTTATGAACAGGAAATGTGTACAGAGCATCACATGACTTTACCAGAGTTATATTTCTGCTTAATATCCTTAACCAAAGAAACATTTGCAGAACGCCGAAATATTCCCTCTATCTGGAGACCTACAAATAAAGATGGAAAAGAAATTCACATTCTCAAATAAGCAAATAAATAAATACATTTACAATAATCTATAATCAATTTGGCATACCCTTCCTATGACTGTAAGCTCACTAAACAATTTCAACCCATGAAGGCAAAATATATATATGTAAAGTAGTAAAAGACCAACCATTCTCCTGCAGGTATCCAACAGTATCACGCATGACTAGTGGAATTCCCTCCGAATCTGCTGCCATGTGTCTCAATCTGATTTCAAACAACAAGAAAAAACTCTAAATGGCAATGGTAGGGTTAAGAGTACATTCAGTCCTAACTCAAGAATGAAGGTGCTTCATGTTTTTTGTCAGTAACAGTAGCTGTGTGAGATGCGAGAGGAAAAGTGTAAGGAAAACTCACGCAGACAGTGGGACGCCAAACTGCTGGAAAGGAAGAGGAGGACTAAGGGGGGGAGAGATCGGTCCAGGGACGACAGACGGCTTCAGAGACAGACGGATCTTATCATCGTACCTGCACAAATAAACTCTTGAATGAATTTCTTCTGGGCTAAAAAATGATCTGAGTACATGTATAACTGCATATTAAATGTCTTACTCTCTGACTCTGTTGGGAATCACCAGCTGATCACACTTCACAACCTCCTCCAGCTCACTCAAATAATTTACGTAATTTATCTTCTGGCCAAACTTAAAGCTGAAACATGAAGTACAGAATACAGGCTGTGAGACTCAGATTACAGTACACATCTGATCAAATACAGAATAACCATAGTGTGGCACTGACCTGATGATGGGTTTGAAGAGAATAAGGATGGTTCTGATAAACATGGTGGGATGGACGATGTACAGCGCCTTGATATTTTTCTTATACCTGCAACAGACACAGGGATAGTGAAGCTTGAGAGAACCAATTAGAACCAATTGCTCTTGTGTACTGTTGTTAAAGCACTCATGAACCTCTCACTAACAGAAGCATCACTCACTTCCTGTCAAACTCCCGATAGGCATCTCGAAGCCAGCTGAGAGAGGGCTTGTTCTCCCTGGTCAGACCATGATGGAAGTAAATGAGGGTATAATCACTCTCCACATACTTGTCAAGAGTCTGCTTCAAATACCTGCACACAAATATCAATCAATCAATTCACACCAAATATAAACTTCAAGTTAGACTGAAAATCTACACTTATGAGAAAATGTCAACTACTGAAATTTCAGGTTTCATTTACACACTTTAAGAGTCTGTGAAACTTGCTCTAAATGTTCTCTTCATAGATGCACATGCCATTATCCTCTCAGACAACTCCTGAAGTTCATAACAAGGAACTTAACAGATGTGAGACGCCCGTCTCGATTTCACTTCATTAAAAACTTAGAGCATTATGGTGCTTTGACCCATTGAACACATGATTGATTTATTACTCTGCATAAATGTCAACCACTCATGCTAACAATGAAGGAAGAAATACCTTGAGAATACGAAATGAACATAATTAAAATTTCATATACATTTTCCATTTTAAACGAACTTTAATCGTCTTTTTTTCTAGACTAATCCCTGCTGACTAAAACTGCTAAATGATGTGACATAGTCCCCTGGTTTCACAGGCAAGGCTAAAGCCTAGTCCCAGACTAAGATGCATGTTTGAGCTGTTTTAACTGAAAGAAACAGATCTTAAAATATGTCAGTGCCACTGTTTTTTCTCAAGATGCACACCAGTAAAAAAAATTAGGCATGTTTATAAAGCCTACTTAAATGTCCTAATTGAACTAAGGTCTAATCTAAGTCCGGTCTATGAAACCAGGTCAGTGTGTTTTACACTTATTTTTTTATTCATAAAAAATGACTAATTTTAGTCTACTGAAATTAGTTTCATATTAATTAAGTACATGAATGTGGTTAGCAAAACTGAGCATTTTATCTGAATATTATTTTAAATGTCACAGCAAATTACTTTGTCACACCACAGGATAACAAAAAATTAACATTATTTATTATAAAAATATATTATTTAAAGCTGCAGTCCGCAGCTTTTCCTCTTTGTCGCCATCTCTGTTCGAAATCTGCAATTGCAGTTATTTGCAGAATTATCAACTTTACGTGAGTTGTACTACGACACCCTCGACACGGCACAGCGCGGATGAACACAATGTTTGAGGAGACTGTGAGGCTGTCAGTCACCGCGCCGGTGTGGATACTGGCATTCAGAATCACAGATTATTCTTTTTGGAAGTATGACCAACATAAGAATTTTCACCGGACAATGTCCTCTGAACAAGTAAGTAACATCCACTTTTGTTCTGGTTCAGACATTGCAGTAAATCGCGCTGATTAAATCTAAAAATCTTATCATATCACGCAAAACCGTGCAAATTATACTTTGTTCTCAAATTGTTCATGTTAACAACGTCTTTTACATTTTACAACGGGTGAATCTGTTGTCACTGGTGATTGTCGATTGAACCTTTCTGGATCCGCCATCAAATTGATAAGTTTAATTATATCAAGTGCTGTGAGAAAAGGCTATAAATCTCCACCTCCAACATCCTCACTCGCAATATAGCCTACTAGCCGAGACTCCTTCTTTATGTGTGCAGATGTGACGTAATCACACAAAGACATGCTCGAATCTCCCGCGGAAATCCACCAGTACCACTGGAGTTAAAAACATTATTACAAGCTTACCGTTTTGAATCGAGCTAAGGCAAGCAGATAGTTTTGAACACTGGCTGGTTATGTATTTTCTCAAATATGTATTTTGGATAATTTTTAAACCCCAAAAAAGCTACGGACTGCAGCTTTAAAAATCTACATATATTTTTAACACAAAAACAAAAAATTCAGGATGTAAGAATATAATCAATATATTTAATTACCATATCAATTAAAACGTAACCTCGGTTCTCTCTAGAGAGGGAACGAGTACTGCGTAATAGCTTTACGCTAGGGGAAAAAAAAATGTTCACGAGATATTGAAGCCAAAAATTATCCTTAATTTTTTATTAATGTAAAACGCTTTGCAGCAGCAAGCAGACATAGGCGAAACAGCTCGCACGCCTATTGGTTGCTCTTGCGGCAAATGCAGCAGCCTATCGAGAGAGACTCTGCGTGACGTAATGACCAATGGGGGCAATTCGCGCCCATATCGTCACGTCCCGCCAGAAAGGGCGTGGTCTCACCCTATAAATATGCTCGTTAGGCTGGTACAAGCTGGTTTTTATCGCTGAAGCGAACCAGAGCGTATTCCAAGCACGGCAAGATACGCAGTACTCGTTCCCTATCTAGAGAGAACCGAGGTTACGTTAGTAACCGAGTACGTTCTCTTACGAGAGTATCTCTCGTACTGCGTAATAGCTTTACGCTAGGGGAACACAATGCAACACGCCGTGCGTACAGGGATCCAACACCAAAGTCCCAAGGGCCGAAGCCCAGGGCTCATGTAATGCATAATCACCATAAACTCACATAGAGTGGGGGAAGAGAGGCTGGAAGCGTCATTCCCTATAAAAAAGCACCCAGCGGGGCTATCATATGACAATAAAACGCGCAGCCAGGGTGAAAGCTTTCAGCCTGATCTGGGTGGCCATACGTGTGTCAACACTCATGGGGCTGCAGTAAACTCAGCATCTGGGCCGCACAGCGGGGCAGATAGCACTGAATTTTAGACCGCCAAAAGCTTAGCTTGTAAGGCGGGTACCTCCAGGTTATAGTATTTTATAAATGTAGACGGCGAGGCCCAGCCCGCGGCCGTACAGATATCTTGCAGGGAAACCCCGCTCGACCAAGCCCACGAAGAGGCCACGCCTCTCGTGGAGTGCGCTCTGACACCCAAGGGGCACTGCAGGCCCTTTGCAGAGTAAGCGAGCGCAATGGCATCCACTATCCATCTGGATAGGCTCTGTTTTGAGGCGGCGAGTCCCTTGGAACGCCCGCCAAACAAAACGAAAAGCTGCTCCGTCTGTCTGAAAACAGACGAGCGTGACACATAAGCTCTCAATGCCCTGACGGGGCAAAGGAGACTCGCGTCCTCCTCCTCACTGAGAACCGGAAGGGCGGACAGGGAAATTACCTGGGCCCTAAACGGTGTATTGAGGGATTTCGGGACATACCCGTGCTTAGGTTTGAGAATGACCTTCGAGTAATAAGGCCCAAACTCCATACACGACGTGCTTACTGAAAGCGCCTGCAAGTCCCCTATGCGCTTCACTGAAGCGAGAGCCATGAGAAACACTGTTTTGAACGACAGGTGTTTCATGTCCACCAGCTGGATTGGCTCGAACGGGGCGCCTTTCATGGCCTCCAGGACCGTGGAAAGGTCCCACGTCGGGACTGAAGGGGGCCTGGGAGGGTTCAGCCTCCGAGCTCCCCTAAGGAAACACACGACTAAGTGGTTTTTCCCCAGCGACTGGCCAGACACCGGTTTTGCAAACGTTGCTATGGCCGCCACATATACTTTGAGCGTGGATGGGGTCCTGCCCTTATCCAGTAGCTCTTGAAGGAAGGAAAGCACTTCCGAAACCCCGCATTCCACAGGTGAAAAGCTCTGGGCTTGACACCATGCAGAGAAAACAGACCATTTCGAGGAGTAGAGCCGCCTGGTAGACGGAGCTCTAGCCTGCGCGATCGTGTTTAACACTCCTTCTGGGAGGCTAGCGGGTACCCGTTGATGGCCCAAGCGTGCAGGGACCACAACTCCGGGCGAGGGTGCCAAATCGAGCCCTCCGCCTGAGAGAGGAGGTCTCTCCTCAATGGTACAGGCCATGGGGCAGTGCTGGTCAGCTGCATCAGGGCAGGGAACCACGTCTGGTTTGTCGAGAGCGGAGCTACGAGCAGCACTGGGCATCCGTTCTCCCTGATTCGTTCCAACACCTGAGGCAGGAGCGAGACAGGAGGAAAAGCATATAGGGGGCAGCGGGGCCAAACATGAGCCAGCGCGTCCTTGCTTTTCGAGAAAAACTCCGGGCAATGAGCGTTTTCGTGGGACGCGAATAGGTCCACCTGTGCTCTGCCGAACGTTTTCCACAGCAGCTGGACCGTCTGCGGGTGCAGCGACCATTCCCCTGCTGGAACATTGTTCCTGGACAGTCTGTCTGGTCCCACATTCAGGTGACCAGGCACGTGCGCTGCTCTCAGGGAGAGCAGGCTGTGCTGAGCCCAGACCAGGAGGTGTTCCGTCAGCCTGTGAAGGTTTCGTGACCTGACGCCGCCCTGGCGATTTATGTATGCCACCACAAACATGTTGTCCGACCGGACCAAGACGTGGTGGCCTGTTACCTGGGGACAAAAACGGCGTAGCGCTTTGTCGACTGCTATCATCTCCAAGCGGTTTATGTGAAGGAGCTTTTCCCGTTCTGACCACAGGCCAGCTAGCGGTCTGCCCTCGAGCAGCGCTCCCCACCCCGAGGTGGAGGCGTCCGTAGACACCACCTTCACACTCGAAGCGGTCCCCAGACTCACACCTGACTGATACCAGTCGGATATTTTCCAAGGTTCCAGAGCTGAAACACACTGTAGGTTGACCCTGAGGCGAAACAGACCCGCTGTCCATGCCCTGGGTGGAACCCGCGCTTTCAGCCACATCTGCAGTGGGCGCATGCGAAGCAAGCCCCACTGGAGTACAGAGGCCGCTGAGGCCATCAGCCCCAGCATTTTCTGAAACCTTTTGAGCGGAACTATCGAGCCGTGGCGGAAGGATTTTGCGACGCGCTGAATATTTAGTCCGCGCTCTGTTGACAGGCGTGCCGTCATGGATAGCGAGTCTAACACTGTTCCCAGAAAGGAAATTTTCTGACTGGGAGACAGTGAGCTCTTCGCCCAATTGACTGTGAGGCCCAGCTCCTCGAGGTGCTCGAGTAATGCGGCCCTGTGTTCTATGAGCTCCGATCGTGATCGAGCTAGAATCAGCCAATCGTCCAAGTAGTTCAGGACTCGCATGCCCTGAAGTCTCAGGGGTGCGAGCGCCGCGTCCATGCACTTCGTGAATGTACGAGGTGCTAGGGACAGGCCGAACGGCAGGACTGTGTATTGATATGCCTGGCCCTCGAAAGCGAATCTCAAGAATCGCCTGTGATGGGACGCTATTTGTATTTAGAAATAGGCGTCTTTCAGATCTATTGACATAAACCAGTCCCCGTGGCGCACTTGCGCGAGGATTTTCCTGGTCGTAAGCATTCTGAACTGGCGCTTCACAAGCGCTCTGTTCAGCTGTCGCAGATCTAAAATGGGTCTGAGACCTCCATCTTTTTTCGGTACCAGAAAATATCTGCTGTGTAGGCCCCCTTTGCTCTGAGCTTGAGATAAAGGTTCTATAGCACCTTTGCTCAGTAGTTTCGCTATTTCGGCTCGAAGTAGATGAGATACTTCGTTTTCCACCGTCGTCTCGACGCGCGCCGTATAACGGCGGGGACGTCGAGCGAACTGTAGCGAATAGCCTCTTTTTATAGTGTTCAGCACCCATTCTGATACCCCAGGAAGCTGTGCCCACACTTTCGCGTGAATAGCTAGGGGTAGAATGATATCTGGGCTCTGGCCGAGACATAGTGACGGCAAGAGAGCTCCGGCGTGCTGTAACGCAGACACTGTGTTTACAGTGTGTGAGGCGGGGGGCGCGCCGATCGCGGCGGGCAGCCTGGCCGCGCTCAAAACCCTTATAGCAGTTTGCTGAGGGAGAGAGAGCGGGGCGAGCCCCGTGGGGCTTAACATGTCTGTGAGTGAATGTGGGCGCAGGACAGCGGGCACATTTACTGCACTGAAAAACACCGTCGGCCTGAGCTGACTGAATGCGTGTTGGTTTCGTTTTCACAGAACCCGTGGGACATGTGGTGTGTAGTGTTTGTGGGCACTGAGACGTAGGCACATTCACTACATTTAGTGCACATTATAGTGCGCATTTAGAGGCGATTTTGTTTGTGCGAGCCCTGCATTTTTGCGGGCTGTGTTTGTGTGTAGAAATGAGCCCTGGGTTGTAGGCATTTTCAATACACTCATAACACCATCGGCTGTGGCCGGAATACCAGAAAATACACCATTTATGTGATTTATCTGGGTCGCCGTGGGAACAGCATTTGTGTGCAGGCAAGCGGGCATGGTACTGGCTTGCTTACTGCAAAATACACTGGAACAGTCACATTTTCTGGAACTGAACGAGCGAAAATTTCAGTGGAAGTCTGGCCACGGCGAGACTGAAACACCGTCGATTTCCTAGGAGGCTAGGAAGACTTGTGTTGGTTTCGTTTTACAAAAACCGTGGTAGTGTTTGTGGGCACTGGGTTGTGGGCACATTCACTACATTTAATGCACAATTGACATGCGTCGATTTCATTTGTGCGAGCCCTGTACCGTGGCGGGCTGTGTTTGTGTGTAGAAATGAACACTGGGCTGTGAGCATTTTATTACACTTATAACACCATCGGCTGTGGCCGGAAAACCAGAAATACAATGATTACATGATTTTTCTGGGCCGCCGTGGAAACGGCCTTTATGTGCAGGCAAGCGGGCCGTGGTACCAGCTTGTTTACTGCAAAATACACTGGAACAGTCGCATTTTCTGGAACTGAACGAGCGAAAAGTTTCGGTGGAAGTCTGGCCGCGGCGAGACTAAATTTTTATCTGCTGCGAGAGCCGGGATCGAACACGGGTCTCTCGCGTGAAAGCTTCGGGTTCCGCCACTGGGCCACAGGGAGAACTACACTAGCGCAAGCAGATAAGAGAGCGTCATCACAGTTTTGTGTGTGTCGGCGTTTGTATGCAGGTGTGCGTGTTATACAACAGGCTCATTGCTGCAATAATGACATTTTCAGCCGCTCAAACTAGGAGCTGAGAAATGTTTAAGAAATGGAGATTAGTCCGGCCTCGGCGGGGACTAAAACACACTCTTTTCTCATTTGCCGGTGACGCACGCCCATGGGGGGCGGGGTAGATTTCTTATAACGTAAAGAAAGCTAGCCGCGGTTTTAGGGCTCGCGGCCTTGATGCTGGCCCGTTTCCTTGACGACTCGCGGACAGAAGGCGGAGGTCCACAGAGCTCGCCTGTTGCGCGGGCGCCTCCCAATCGAGGCCGATGCTTTCCACGGCCTGAGAGAGCAGACGCATCAGCTCAGTCTCAATGCCGGTTCTCTTACCAGTGGTTTGGCAGGAAACGCTAGCGGAGGGGAGGTCCACGGAGCTCGCCCAATCCTCGCTATCGGATGCCAGAAGAGAACACGCCTCGGTGGGTTCGTCGAACTCGTGGACGGACGCGGCGGCAGGCGGCGGCCGTTGTCCGTCAGTGAGCGACTCGAGCGAAGCCGGCGAAGCTGGCGGGCGAACCGGCGAGCTTTGGCGGGCTGGAGAGAGCTCGGGAGCGCGCTGGGCGCGGCGCTTCTTGCGGCGCGGCACCACGGCGGGCTGTGGTGAAGGCTCGGAGAATGATGCCAGGTGAGTCCTCAGAGTCACCATAGGCAAAAACTCGCAATGAGGGCATCCGCCGTCAGCGAGCGCGAGAGCCGCGTGATCCTCACCCAGGCAGGAAACACAGATGACGTGACGGTCTCCGTCGCTGAGCGGGGCGCGGCACGAGCCACAGGATGGCATCTTTAAAAAGACGCAGCTCTTTTGTGAAGAGAAGTGTGAGTCGCGTCAAGTAAGCGAGCAAACACTCTCAGCAGAGTAAAGATACACAGAGTATAAAAGGATATAGAACGCCGGAAAGCGCAGCAGGTACGGCAGTTGAAGGCGGCGAGGCCAGCGACTCCAGAGCTCGTCCCGCTGAAAGGCTTGCTTCGACGGCGCGGCTTCTCACTCCGGATCCAGCGATGCGTGCGTCGCTGAAGAGATAAAAATCAGCTTGTACCAGCCTAACGAGCATATTTATAGGGTGAGACCACGCCCTTTCTGGCGGGACGTGACGATATGGGCGCGAATTGCCCCCATTGGTCATTACGTCACGCAGAGTCTCTCTCGATAGGCTGCTGCATTTGCCGCAAGAGCAACCAATAGGCGCGCGAGCTGTTTCGCCTATGTCTGCTTGCTGCTGCAAAGCGTTTTACATTAATAAAAAATTAAGGATAATTTTTGGCTTCAATATCTCGTGGAAAAGAGTTTTTCCCCTAGCGTAAAGCTATTACGCAGTACGAGAGATACTCTCGTAAGAGAACCTAAATATATTAGGATCAACCAAATAAACTACACAAGAAAACAGAAAACATCAGTTGACAACTCAAAAGTGCTGCTTATATCTTCTCTTTTTTTTCTTCTCTCCTTGAATCATAATGTTTTCCCTGAACTTTTTTGTTCTCTGCACTTGACCTTAATCTTATAGTGTCTTGTGCTTATCTACGTATGATTGCTTGGACAAATAATAACCATGTCATTTCAACCACCCATAATTAGGAAAAAGGTAATGCATAGGTGATGCACATATTAAGCCCAGCTTGATGAAGCACATAAATCAAGTAAGAGCAGTGACGCCTACATGAGAAGTTTATGATGATCCAGCTGATGTTGGGGGGGCATGCGACAAGCGTTAAAAACGATGACTTTCCGACCAAAGTTATCATCACCTATAAAGAAAGAGAAAGATCAAGAACTTTAGAACTAGAATAAATGCTAGCTGGTGATGCTTATGCATTTAATAACGTCTCACCTGCCACCTCCACAATCTGATGTCTGGCTATATCATAGAAGGGGTCGTCCCAGGACAGATGTGACTTGTCACCAAGACTTTTAATGTCTGAAGCTGCAGGAAAGAATATAATGAATGGCACATTTCAAACAAATTTAAAGTAAATAAATGTAAGAGTCTAAAAAAAATTATTTTACAGACTCTTGACGGGATCCTAAAACATCACTTGAATGTAAATGTCTCTTGGATTAAAAGTAAGGCATGGCACTATTTTGTAAGGCTTACAATATTACAGTCAGAGATGATACATGGAAACAGGGCTTGACATTAACACCCGCCAATATAAATATTTTAATTGTAGTTCTTGTCTTATCAAAAGGCATCTGAAATAATTAAGGCGGGGTGGTATAATGCCCCTTTTCACAAGATGTCCCCAGAGTGTGTATGTGAAGTTTTAGCTCAAAATACCCCACAAATCATTTTTGATAGCATGTTAAAGTTGTCACTTTTTGAGGGTGAGCAAAAACGCGTCGTTTTGTGTGTCCCTTTAAATGCAAATGAGCTGCTGCTCCCGGCACAGAGGGCGGAGCTTCAACAGCTTATTCTTAGCAGCTTGCAGACATGCACTAAAATGTCAGAAACTGTTCTGCCTTTTATGTTCAAACCGATTTTGTGTAAAAATTGTATGTAAAAATGTCGTGTAGTCCCTACCAGCCGTTTGTTGTAGTCCTTAAAAAGCGATTTCTGTAAAAGAAAATATCTTCCTTTGTTTTGAACTTTGAGCGTTGTAACTTTGCAGATGTTGTTTATGCTCAAACAGCAACATTACACACTAACTAAAGTTAGAAAAGTGAAATCATAATCAACCACCCCTTTAAATAATTGCAGTATGACACTACACTACAACTCCCATGAGCACTACCTGCTCACAGTGTTTGCTCATTGGTCAATTCGTGAAGCCTATTGCCTTTTGCCCAAGCGCCAGTGACTGATGTCACAAGACAATGTAACCAAGAAGTCCCTGTGGAGAAGTGAACCTGTTGAGCTATGTGGCGGCACATACATAAAAAGGCTCAACAAAACCCAGAGAGTTGACAACACACAAAAGAATTCCTGATGAAAAGGAAGAGGAAACAAAAAGAAGAAAAGACAGTTCAACCAAAAGTGGGAATAATGTAGAGAAAGGCTGGTATATGATACAGCAAAGAAAATCATATACTGCTGCGATTGTAGGACGTACGGCAGTGAAAAGGTGAAGGAGTCTCTTTTGTGGTTGGGACGACCAATTTTAAAGTCGAGACTACAAAAGACCATGAAATGTCCGTTGGTCAATTTGTTGCATGTGTCGTAAGCGTTTGTGTGCTGTATGACTAATGCTACATGACTACTTGAGTTCTCTGCTGGCTCTTAAATAGGCAGTGACAATTATGTCATCTGGAAGACATCAGCTTCATTTGCTTCTAAATATAGCAAGCATATGATTGGAATTCATGATAAAAATGGTAGTTCTTTGCAATTACTTCCTTTTGCTCACACAGCTTTATTTTACAAAACAGTGTGATTATTCTGCAAAAAGAAACTACATTTAAACATTATTATTATCCTGTATGACACACACATGCACAATTTCCACTCCTGTGCACTCACCGGATTTGCTCAGGCTAAAAGGGTCATCTGGTGGCCACTGTTTGTCCTGTACCAGTTTGAGCTGGTCCAGGGCAGCACTAGGAGAGTCGTCTCCTCCCAGATCATCTTGAAGGTCCACCAGCAGGTCAGAGGACATGATGGTCCTCTAAGACAACACAATTCACACACAACAGTTAGACATAGAACATCACAAAACAATACCACACAGATCTGCAAACGCTCAGTTCCCTTCACATTAGGTTCCTGTCCGTCCGACTCCAGCATAAGCCTGTGCAAATGCAGCGTTTCACACGCACACACTTGCTTGAACAGTAACTGGCTGACTCACATGGGTGACCACAATGACAAATGATGAACAGGTCTTTTGAGTTTGTTTCATAACAGTCTTGCGATCTATGTATCTGTCCCGTGAGGATTGTTTAACGGAAGCACCTTTCATAATAAGGCACGGTAATGACATAACATTAGAAACGGGCTAATATTAATTTAGTTTTCTGGCTTAGATACTGATTCATACATTTAGGTAACACTTTATTTTACAGTGTCATTGTTATGTTACATGTACTAACTAAATTCTGCAAAATTATATGCAACTAACCCTAAACCAAACCCTAATCCTATCACTTTAGTAGGTAAGTACATGTACTTGATTAATATTGCTCAGGACTTAAATGTATAATTACACTGTAACAAGGACATTTACAATAATGCTTCCAAGCACAAAATTACAGATTTCTTCTTATTATTATTATTATTTAAAGCATAGTCAGTTTAGCTTCATACAACAGCTTTGTGAAAGGGAAACCAGCACAAATAAATAATATTTATATTATTCAGAATAGGTTTTTATTCATAAATGACACAGCTAATGGACTAGGAAGCAGCTGTGGAATTAAAATAAAACAAATAAGCTTTTGCGCTGTCTTGCACAACTAATAGTTGCAAAACTATTTAATTTCTGTGATCTAGAAACAAATCCTTTTTTAATAATGCATTAGTTAATTAACCTGATTTGCTAATTTAACAGAATAGAATGCAATGCAACAATTTACCGGTTCTTTTGAATGCAGTGTTATTGCAATAAATAACACTGCATTCAAAAGAACCGGTAAATTGTTGCATGGCATTCTATTCTGTTAAATTAGCAAATCAGGTATTAACTTAAGCATTATTAAAAAAGGATTGGTTTCTGGATCACATAATCTCTAGGAGTGTACTGTAAATCGGACAGTTCATCATGATACGATATGATACTGACTCTCATAGCCAGCGATACAATATTTGACGATACCTCAAAAAATTCTGCAACATGATTCGATTAAATTCAGGGGGATATCGATCGATATATCGATATTATGATATTATGTGCCTATTTTACACAACCAGTTTTATTTTTATTAATTCACAAATGCAACCAAAATAAGTAACATGAACATATATCTGAAAAACAATATAGCACATCCTGTACCCCAATTTGGACATCTGTTAAATATAGATTTATAATATTAAAGTTACAAAAGTTATTTAGTCAACAGCAGTGAGAGATTTTCTCTTTGGTGTTTAATGAATAACACAGAGAGCAGAAGGAATTAGGCTGCTGCTACTAGTATATATAGATTTTTTACACGTTGCAACGATACATCGGAATCGGATCGTTAGTCATTTGATCAATGTATCGATGTATTGTTACACCCGTAATAATCCCTAGCTTCCATGTGCACTCCATCATATGGTAAGAAAACTACCATCATCAACACCATTTTCTGAGCTCTTCATAAACAGTGCATTTATTTGAAATCTTACCAATAGATTTCATTGAGAAAATCATGTAGTGGAAAAATGCAGTGAACAGCCTCACTAGCCTTTGCAAGTCTTTCAGATCTTTGCATTAACCAACAGGCATTCAAACATTAAAGCACATAAAAGAACATTACTCCCCCGTCCCCTATATGCAATGTAAATAATCCACACCATCAAGTGTTTTAATTTGTCACAATCAGCAGGGTCAAGCTTTGAGAAACTAAACTATTAGCTATTTATTACATTATAATTATATTTTGTTCTTATTATTTTAGTATGAAAATATTGTGGCATTGTGAATGTGCTATATTTTTTATATCTGTATGTGTGTAGCTGTAAGGCTAATGCAAGCGTCAGTAGGGCTCAGACATTGATCAGCTGTGACAGTCCCTCGCTTTGGTGCCGCGCGGCAATGTGGCCGGCCAACCGTAAACTGACAAGAAATTTCAGTTTTACCCTATGCTCCTATTTATAGCCTTAACCCTAGCAGAGCCAGCTTCACGTTTACTAACATCTGTGACAGTCTTCATTCTACTCTGACACCCACGTCCATATCTCTAAATAATGGGATATCATAACATTCTTTAGGTGACGTAACCCGGGTCAATCTGTCGCTCTGATCAAAGAACATAGCTTATCTCAGTTATGTGTATGACTAGTATGATTCTGTTGTAAATACTAACAGCAATCTTGCTATAGTCATAGAAATCATATAGAGAAGCTCGCATCATTCTTAAGTAGCTACTAGTTGTTGCTGAACTATCTCTGATGTCAGTTTTTGATCATTTATCCTTTGGTTCTAACCAGACAGCACCCTTCCAAAATCAGTCCAGTTCCACTCTACAATGGTTCTCTAATTCATTACCCAAGATCATCAGCAAAAACAATGCTCCTCATTCACAGTTGTGCTCCAGAGAGGCTTGAATGCTGCAGCCAGAGAAGTCAACCAGCACTTCAGACAGAAACAAAGACCCTAAAGAGAGCTTAAAAACAAAAGACCTAAATTAACCCCAACACCTCCAAAATAAACTATACGCTTTCTCAAAGACTGTAGCCTTACAACACCACCACAATAAAAAAAAGCCAAAAATCAATATTTAGTGCTTTTCTCATGTACCAATGACCTTATAAACAAACAAGGTACAACCAAGATTTCACTATTGTTTATAATCTCATCAATACTGCAGGAAAAAAAACAATGTGATTTGTGCTCATAGCTTGCTTTCTTCTTCCCATACATATGGTAGTTTAACTGTGGCAGGTCAGCAATCCTGAGTGTCAGGCGACGCTCATCATATTCCCAACTCCATTCTGCTGCAGCAATCACAAATGCAATAACGTTATTTTTTGTGTCGAGTCTAGTGGAGCCGTTTAGCATGGTTCAGATGTGCTCAGCACATCTACCACAGAATAATCTGCAGAGCGAAGCACAAGAGAGCAAAGCAGAGTGTGTGGTGAGATTCTGCTCATCTCTCTGCAGTGTGGTCATCCACACATGAATCCACAGTAGAAAACGCAACAAATTAATTCTGCATGCCTCAAGTGATCACATAAGCAAATGGGTAGATTTTAGGTTAAAACTGTGAATGTAGTGAAGGATTTATTCTACATGGCCCTGCAGTGAAACAAATGCAAGTCTCTTAATTAATATGAGGCCATAAAAGCTGCATAATAATAATAAAGAACAAATGGCTGTTTAAAATAGTTTTAGATGTAATAGAACATGTTACACTGTAGGACACGTAAACATCCCATTTACAGATCCACTAAAGGCGTAAAAAAAAAGACACTGAATGAGAGCGTTTTGTTGAGCTGCGTTTATCGTTAACTGTAAACAAACAAACAAGGTACAGCCGAGATTTCACTATTATTTAAATATCACATGAACAATACTATGGGACTTATGGGAAACTATCGACATTGGGATCGGAGCTCATAGCTTGATTTCTGCCCATGCCCATACACATGGTAGTTTATTTGTAACAGGTCAGTTATCCTGAGTGTCTTCTGCCAGACAACATTGCCAGCGGTTCTTCGAACTTTTAAAGTGTTTGGGTTCAGTGTCAAACGTTTACTCTCTTTTTCATCGTCTGGTGTAGTCAACACGTCTAGACTCCTGCTCTGGACAGATAAGGTCGGATTCCCCAGCGTTTCTAAGGAAACGCAACATCTGGACACGTAACCGTGTTTACCCAGCAAGAACAGAGTCAACGTGAGACTTAAATAATACGCAACAGATTTCCTCTCAAGTGATGGCGTCAAAGCAAAAATGCTGCACATATTGGTTCGTTCGTTGTGATCAGTCGACAATCTGCTAAGCTAACTAACGTTAGCTGCAAACCTGTTTCATCTTGACTTAACACAGGACGGAAATTCTAACAAGTGTTGCCCTACCGTACGGCTAAAGGCTTCTGCGGATCAGAGGAAACGATGAGCAAACCCCTGCAGGTTTTATTAAGTCAAATAAGAAGAAATGAATTTACCTAATTTTCAGCGCTCCCTACTGAAGTCTTCACAACTCTGTCAATCTTGCGAATTTCATTCGGGACTTCCGGTTTGCGATCGTTGTAATTCAGTGTAAACGGCCCGGATGCAGCAGGAGAAGAACGGATGGCCACGCCTCCTATAATATGTTGTTATTATAACCATCGGTTGAACAACAGCCACTTATAAGGAAATGATCTAGAGCTGGATTAAAGTATGATATAATGTCTTTGTGTGTTCTGAACAGCCCAAGAGCTATTTGAAATGTCAGAAGTTTCCTCCATGTCAACACCCCTTCATTGATTCAGGGACCACTGAATCTCTGGGCAACACCATCATTTTGAGCAAAGCAACGATTATATTAAGCTAGATAAAATGGGGCAATAACTAAAATAATAAATAAGAATCAGGCTTGTTAAAGTATTACAGACCCCCAAACCAGAAATTTAATAATAATAATAAAATACAAGCTGTTTCTTGCGATTACCCTGAAACTGCTTTACATTTTATTTAGTATTGCTTGACATTTAGGTTTGAAATACAGGAATTTAGTAATGAGAACATTCAGTGATCACTTAAGTGAAAATGCACAGCCTCACAAATTATCTTGGAAGATGAAAAACAATTTTATTAAATTAATCTTAATAATAATTGTCTCTGCATTCCTTATACGTAAATGCAAATTTACTAATACACTGCCTGGTCAAAAAAAAAAGTTGCTGTTTGGATTTAAATAGGCAAATATTTAGGAGTCTATGAATGGATCATTATTGCAGTGATTATAATGTTTCTAGCATGTCACCTGTTTATATGTTTGGCAACAGTTCTTCTAACCCTAATTGATGGAGTGTGTAGCTTTTCATTTCTTAAACAAGCATGTAGAAAGACACATCATGGCCATATTCCAGGATGACAAAGCCAAGATTCATTAGGCTGAAATTGTGAAAGAATGGTTTGGAGGGAGCTTGAAGTCCAGACCTTGAATTCATTGAAAGTCTTTGGGATGTGCTGAAGTAGACTTTACGGAGCTCGACTCTTGCATTGTCAATACAAGATCTTGACCAAAAATCGATGTACTTCTTGATGGAAACAAATGTTCTGATGTTATTTCCATCAAGAGGTGCATCAAATTTTGGTTGTTGCCAAACATATAACATGCTAGAAACATAATAATCACAGCAATAATGATCCAGTTATAGACCCTTAAGTATTTGCCTATTTAAATCCAAACAGCGAACTTTTTTGACCAGGCAGTATAGTAACATTAATGTTTTTTTAATTGCTAGCATTTTTGGTCTATTAAAGCATCTCAATGAAATACAGTGGCAACTCAAATGTCTACTTTTGACAACTGAACTATGAAAAAAAGAGTATCTTTGATGTGTTGTAATTACACCCTCATAATTGTGATCAGTCACATGTCACCATTCCTTTATTTATGTGACAAGAACCTGATATTTAATTGAACTGATCTCAAAACCAGAATTGCATCTGTTTCATAAAGAAGAGGCTAGCCCATTCTCACTGTCAATACACAGAAAGAAACTCCATGCTCACACACTGGTATCAACATACAAAGAATTCAGATTTATTTATCAATTTGAAGGTTTGATCACATTTGACCAAAGTGTTAATTTCTTGTGTGGCAAAGGTCTCGTTGCAAGTTGGAAGATCACTCATCATCTGCAGAGCCTGTTTTGTCAATGACTTTTTTCATCCAGCGACGCATACGGAATAAGTGTGTGTAGAATCCATATTTGCCATCACGATCACAGCCCTCACCCCACGACACAATGCCAATCTGATACCACCGTTTATCTGTAGGACTCTGTGGGCAGGAATAGGTTTTAAAAGGACAAGATGTAAAGTTTAGTTGTGCGAGTCCAGCAAACAGACCTTTATCGGTATTGGTAAATCAAACTTGTTTGAGGAGAGAAGAATATATACGTTATTATACCTTCATCACAAAAGGCCCTCCACTGTCTCCCTCACAAGCGTCACCTCTTTTTGTATCATCTGGCAGGTAACCTATAAAACAAAAGATGACCTTGCCGTGACACCTGAGCGCAAAAGCATCTCACGAATTCTCAGAACCTGAACTGTCTAGGGTCTAAAGAAGACCATGAAGAATATGATGATGAGTATTACCAGCACAGAACATGTTGTCAGTGATGATGACCGAGGTGGAATTGCGACAGATGCTCTGATCCACAATGGGCAAGTGAATCTGTTGCAGCACTGTAGGAAGATTTTTTGGGTTTGATGTCCATGATTCCCTGAGGTTCCCCCAGCCAGTTACACGGCCCTTGAAACCTGCAAACATTAAACTTCAGAGAGAAAATCTGTCAATTACAGCTATGAGTAAATTTTAAATATATGCTGAAATGCATTTTCTAAACATTGTTGTTCCCCAAGAAAATATGTTTTTAGTGAGTTTTACCATCAAAAAAGGTGAACAAATGCATACAAGGACCCCTTTCAAGAGGTTAGCATCTTTATAGTGTGAAGTTTTAAAATCTGCATTTTCTAAATGCATATTATTGATCTTATTGTGGATGATTCATCAGACTTCTCTAATCATGTAGTCTGCTTAAACTTGCATTCCAATCTGCCTCCATCCAATCAACAACCGATGAGTAGAAGCTAAATATATATATATATATATATACACTCACCGGCCACTTTATTAGGTACCCCATGCTAGTAACGGGTTGGACCCCCTTTTGCCTTCAGAACTGCCTCAATTCTTCGTGGCATAGATTCAACAAGGTGCTGGAAGCATTCCTCAGGGAGTTTGGTCCATATTGACATGATGGCATCACACAGTTGCCGCAGATTTGTCGGCTGCACATCCATGATGCGAATCTCCCGTTCCACCACATCCCAAAGATGCTCTATTGGGTTGAGATCTGGTGACTGTGGAGGCCATTTTAGTACAGTGAACTCATTGTCATGTTCAAGAAACCAATTTGAAATGATTAGAGCTTTGTGACATGGTGGAAGTAGCCATCAGAGGATGGGTACATGGTGGCCATAAAGGGATGGACATGGTCAGAAACAATGCTCAGGTAGGCCGTGGCATTTAAACGATGCCCAATTGGCACTAAGGGGCCTAAAGTGTGCCAGGAAAACATCCCCCACACCATTACACCACCACCACCAGCCTGGACAGTGGTAACAAGGCATGATGGTTCCATGTTCTCATTCTGTTTACGCCAAATTCTGACTCTAACATCTGAATGTCTCAACAGAAATCGAGACTCATCAGACCAGGCAACATTTTTCCAGTCTTCAACTGTTCAATTTTGGTGAGCTCTTGCAAATTGTAGCCTCTTTTTCCTATTTGTAGTGGAGATGAGTGGTACCCGGTGGAGTCTTCTGCTGTTGTAGCCCATCCGCCTCAAGGTTGTGCGTGTTGTGGCTTCACAAATACTTTGCTGCATACCTCGGTTGTAACGAGTGGTTATTTCAGTCACTGTTGCCCTTCTATCAGCTCGAACCAGTCTGGCCATTCTCCTCTGACCTCTGGCATCAACAAGGCATTTCCGCCCACAGAACTGCCGCTCACTGGATGTTTTTTCTTTTTCGGACCATTCTCTGTAAACCCTAGAGATGGTTGTGCGTGAAAATCCCAGTAGATTAGCAGTTTCTGAAATACTCAGACCAGCCCTTCTGGCACCAACAATCATGCCACGTTCAAAGTCACTCAAATCAACTTTCTTCCCCATACTGATGCTCGGTTTGAACTGCAGGAGATTGTCTTGACCATGTCTACATGCCTAAATGCACTGAGTTGCCGCCATGTGATTGGCTGCTTAGAAATTAAGTGTTAACGAGCAGTTGGACAGGTGTACCTAATAAAGTGGCCGGTGAGTGTATATATTACATTACAACTATTGTTTTTACTTACTTCTTTGCGATGCTCTTGGTGGGCAGACAGACAGGGTGGATCTCACTCGTAAAGACTACAGGCTTCTTCATGTGCAGAAGAGCAATGTCTCGGTTCAGGTTTTCCTTCCAGTTATATTTAGGGTGGACAATGATTTCATCAATGGCCACAATCTTTTCAATGCCCCTCTCATACCTGACTCGGAGAGAAACAGGACAGAGTTTAAAACAGCTTAATTTCCTGTAGACTGAGGTTTATAAATTACTTGGTGTATATTTCACAGCTTTTCGGCATTAACAAGTAGACATTTACAATTTATGTATTGGTGCAGTCAATTGGGAAAAAAAGTATGCAGGTTTTATAGAATTTTTTTGAGGGCTCACTTGGTACGAGAGTGTTTTCCAAGGCGGACGATGATATCATTGATGGTGAAGTTCTTGTTCCACGGTGGGTAGAGAATGCAGTGGGCCGCAGTGAGAATCCATTCATCGCTGATCAGACTGGCTCCACACAGCAGCTCCTGAGGACTACGCTTATATAACATCACCTGCCTGCAAATTACATCAAACACAGTATACAACATGCAGCATTAGATGTCGACATGAGTGATGACGGCAATATATCTGAAAGTCTAAAACAGCGTATGTGGTGATGTATTCACCATGGAGCACTGGCCATTTCAGCCTCCTCTCCTCCCACTATTCTGCTTCCAGTGTATGACATCAGTAGCTCCTTCTCATTCTTATCGTCTTTGCTGATCTTCTCAAACAAGGGGCGCACTCCACACTCTGACAAAAGGCAGTTTAATATTAATTATCAGTTGATTATACAAGATATCAAACCACCGCAAAACAGACGGTGAAGTATCAAACCTTGTTCTCCATTGCCAAAGCTGCGGGGGCTAAAGAAAGCCTTTTTCTTTCCATCAAGAGTTGTTCTCTCTCGACCACCTGCTTCCTCTACAAACTTGTCCAGAGGGGCATCTGAGAGTGAATGAGAAAGAGAGAGTGATGTTCAAGTGTGGGCTTAGAGGCGTGATGATTCATGTATAATGCACTTAGCCTTAACAATGAAAAAGCGGCTTTATTAAAATGATGACCCTTAATCCTAATTTAAAGACTCTGGTCCAGATGTTACTTTCAATCAAGGTCTAAAGTTCAAGGGAAGAAATTAATATTTCTAGTTGTTATCGTGTAAGTGTTTGTAGAAGGTAGTTCTGCTCACTCACCACACATCTCTAAGTCACAGTAATCAATGGTAATGTTTCCGCCCGCTTCCTTTACGTAGCACCACGGACCCTCCATATCTCCATCTGGGTTTCTGCAGTGGTTCTTTACTAGCTGAACTTGAGGCAGAAACTCTTTTCCTTTAATCAAGGCTTGCACTTCTGGTGCACTCCATTGCACGCAGGTGCGTCCCCCCATAGACACAGACAAATCCCCTGTGTAGGTCTCCCCATTTCCAGCCAGGCATTTACTCTTGACATAACGCTCTTCAGGTTTCACAGTAGGAGGTGGCGGAGGAGGGAGAACAACAGTCTCGCCTGAGGAGGAGAGAGTGAGATGATCAGTCTGGTGGACTAGCATAACTTGATGATGGAATGAATGAAACCTTTTTTTTATTCATGCTCAAGCATAAAATGTGCAATAAACAGGGCACAAATAGGTGCTATCAGATATGGTAATATGTTTTTTAGTAAATCAGTAGTCATTTAGCAGGTCAAGCACACTTATTATTATAGCGATAGTTTCTCCTGAGCAACCTGGTTCAACGACACAGCGGTGATGGCTCAACATTCTGGTTGACAGTGCAAAGCGTTAGTTATTACACCACAGGACATTTTGCAGTAAGATTTCAGTGATTTTCTCTACCGCATTTTGGCAAGCTGCAGGACTCCCTTCTGACCGTCGGGTCTCTTGTAAAACACCAAGGCCCTTCACTGCTCCTATCTGGGTTTCTGCAAAAGTTCTCCGGTAGCTTCAGCTGTGTCACATTAAATTCGCTAAAAATGGGAAACAAGTAGGTCATAAGACAAAAGAGCTGCTGCAACATCACTAGAGGCATGTAAAGCTCAATACATGAAAACAAAACAGCCTCTTCCATACTGAAATAATTTGTGTTTTATAAACAATCAACATAAAATGGTTTTGCCAATCCTGAGAGATGACAGCTGCTGTCAACAAAGAGTGCAGAAGTACATACTGAATCCTGTGGGGGAAGTTGCTTTTCCAGTACTGGCATGACCTTCCAGACTTGGTGACAGATACTCTACCAGCGTAGTTTTCACCAACATCAACGAAACAGTCTCCTGTCAACAGGGAAATTATAGTTAAAACTAACACTAAAACTAAAAACATACAAACATTTTCTTACTTGAAGTAAAATTAACATTAACTGAAAATAAAAAAGTAAACATTTTATTTCAGCTACTTGCCAAGGAAACACTTCTCATTTTTATTGTTTAACTTGATGTACTAAAATAACTAAAACTGAAATTAAAATTCATAAAAACCATTTAGACATACTTTAAAAATGAATATATATATATATATACTAATTCAAAATATTAGTAAAAACTAGAACAATGACACAAAAATAACACTGTCAATCAAACATCCATTAATTAATAGGGTTATGATAAGTCACTAGCTTTTACCAAAAAATGTCTTTGTGTTATGAGTGTTGGGTACAAGTCTTTGTGTTGGGTGAATAAGTATGTATCACCCTTACCTTCTGTTTTCACACATGCTCTCAAACTGCTGATATTTGCTGGTGTTCTGGATAATTTTGTTCCCTCACAGCCTGTGAAAAAAAGATAAAAAAGTGAAATATATAACATCTAACAGAGTTCCCAGGTTGGCATTTTTTTCTGTGGAATTGGGCTACTTTTAAACTGCCACAGATTTTAGTTATGGGAGTGCCTTAGTTTGAGTTTTGGTATTTGGGCTAGTTTAATTGGCTGTTGGGCAACCCTGATACCAATACACTCATTTTAATTTGTATATTGAGCAGGGAAAGGCCAGTGAAAATGCCCTTTGTCCCTGGTTCAATAGAAACTGTTTACACAAAATGTTGTCACTGTTTACACTGAAACCTTTGTAAAGTGATATATATTCTTACCCAAATATTTCGCCCAAAAAATTTCCTGTGGGAAAATGGAAGAAATTAATAAACATAAAATACTAGATAAAAGGATTTATACCACACTTCAAATGGCAGTAATCTCATAAAGATATACGTTGTATACTTATATATAGATTTTTTTTTTTTAAATCCACTGATAGACTTAAATATTTCCATATGTTTCAATTGGGGCTTATGTGTCTAAACACAAAGTGCATTTCTCACCGTTTTATCAACTCTCTCAAACACTTCTCGAGCTTCCTCATGGTCACAAATCTCTTCCACACACTCTCTCTCCAGATTACCCGGTTTAATCTCCTCAAATCTGCCGTTAGCCCTCTTTGCCCGAATGATCTGAGAGGCTTCCTTACTGTCAATGAACACTGAAGCACAAAAGCCAAAATTTCTCAAAACATCTAGGCTCACATACTATAATATGTATTATCTTAGAAAAAATTTGTTCTTAGTTTGTTATGGCCTAATTAGTCAAAAGGCAGAGAAATCTCAGTAAATTCCTACCGTTATTACACAACGTGAGCTGGAGAACTTGTCCGAGAAGCAGGAAGAGAAGGAGAGGCGCTGGTTTCGCTCCCATTCTTGGGGATGACTGAGTCTGTAATCCTGAAAAAACTTGGAGCATCTCATCAAATCTCTCACCCACTCAAGCCCAGAGCTGCAGTTACTGGAGTCACCAAGTTAATATTGAACTACCAGAGTTCAAAGAGAACAAAGTGTCTGAACTCTTTTCACAAAAAGAGCCTATCTCTTCTGTATCAGATCTCTTATATCAACGTGGAACATTCTTTGCTTTCTCAGGAACATGAATCAGACATATTTAATGAAAACAAGATAACTTCATATCTCAAAAGCTATGCGAATTCAACTGTGAGGAGATATTATACAAATTCTAATATTTATATTATAACAAAACAAAAAAACTAGATTAAATATTTTACACAGTGCTCCTCCATATTTTGTTATTTAAGAGTAGATACATCTTTGTTACTAATCGAAAGAATTAGCTTTCATCTTGAAATTATGACCCTCTTTATGTAGCTGAAGAGCTCCATTAGCTCTTATCTACTGGGTATCTACCACTTATCGTTTCCTCTAATAATAATCATTATGTATTTATATAAAAAGTACATACATGGTATTTTACTTTAACAGTTGACGTGTGAAAGATGTGATAATTTGCAACGTAACAGATACAGGTATATAATTGAATTTCCTCTTGTATTAGCTCATTTCCCAACACAGCTGTGTTTTGCTGATAAACTTGTACAATGTCTGAATAAACAGTGATGAAACAAGGTCGACTGCGCACAGGAGTCAATATTTACTGATACATGCAGCAAACCCATCTAAGAATCAAAGAACAGCAAGACATAAATTCAACATAGCTTATACATTTATTTCACAACGGTTGTTTTTTCTTTGGTGTGAGACATAATGTGAAAAGTTTATGTTTGAAAACGAAACACTTTAGTGTCACAGCCCTGTCTCTATTTCTACAGTCTCTGCCACAGAACTTAGACCATCCTGCCCTTGTAATATGACCAAACAACTATTAGCATCCTGTGCTGGAACTACAATACAGTCACTATTGGCAACTATGCATTCAGCATTAGCTTCCTGTTCCTGAATCTCTATACACTTAGAAGGCTGTTCTTGCACTACTATACACTTGGTATTATCATCGGAGACAATAATCTCAATGATATTCTCACTGAGCTCAATACGTTCAACCCCCTTCTCCGCTCCTTTTTCCAAAACAATTGTGCCATGGTGGTACGCACCAGAGCCCAAAATGGCACCTTCTGGGTGAGACACCATAGCGAAGTCCTCTGAGGCTTGAACGTACGCAACCATCTCTTCCAAACTGCTGCAGTCAGTCCTACCTGGCTCACCCTCTGCTTTCTGGCCTGTCCTTTTGGGTCGACCTCGTGTCGGCAATGCGTGACCAGAGTCTGGGTGATGTTTGTGCGACTGCAGATGCCGCTGTAGACTCTGCATCATTGTGTATTTGGCTCCGCACACCTGGCAAACATGTGTCTTCTCTTCCAGGTGAGACTTTAGGTGGCGCCGGAGTTTGGTTGCCATCGTGTACCCTTTCCCACACTGTTCACATTTATAGGGTCTGTCTCCTGTGTGCAGTCGTTCATGGGCCCGCAACGTGTGAGGGTCCCGTAAAGCCTTACCACAGACAGGACACAGATACACCTCACCCGTGTGTGAAATCAGGTGCCGGCGCAGCTCAGGAACTTGAGAAAAACGCAGGTCGCAGTGGTCGCACTTGTAGGGTTTCTCTCCGGTGTGGATGCGCATGTGTCCCAGCAGATTGCCACGTTGGCGAAAGCTCTTGTCACAGTGCTGGCAGATGTACGGCCGTTCTCCGGTGTGCAGACGCATGTGGTTCCTCAAAGAGCCAGAATTGGCCAGTTCTTTACTGCACTCTGGACACTTGACCTTGGGAGCTTGGTAGTCTGGCTCTTTTGTCCGATGGACTTCTCTGTGAACGCGTAGCGAGGGCCGGCGAGCAAAAGCTTTTCCACAGATGTCACAGATGAACGGTTTCTCGCCTGAGTGGAGAACCTGGTGCTCCTTGAGGTCCCGTTTTAAGCCATAGCTTTTGTCACAGTGCTGGCATTGAAACGGCCTCTGACCGCGATGCATTAGCAGGTGGGCTTGGAAGCTCTCCTGTGAACTGTATGGTTTACCACACTCTGTGCACATGTACGGCTTTTGATTTTGATGTGTGAATTTGTGTTTCTTGAGATGGCACAGCTGAAAGAAGCTCTTGTCACACTCGGAACATTTGTACTTCCTCTCTCGGATAATAAAGTGAGGAAAATCCTGCTCATTTTGCTCCATGCTGGAATCCTCATTAATATACAACGTCTGCATTGTGTTGTCTTTGTTTTTCAAGAGCTTTTTCTTGCTGCTTAGGTCTGACCTGTTCATTGGATCTTGTCGTTTGCAGATACGGTTGGCTGACGAGTGCACTTTTCGAGGTTTAGCGGCAAGGCGAGAGCTGGCTCTTAGGCTTCTCTCTGGCTTCAGAAGTTCTGATGAACTCTGGGCTTGTGATGTATTCACACTGACACTCTGAATCTCTTCTCTTGCAGGACGCTCATCGATCTGCTCAGCTTCACTCTCCCCGTGTGCCTCATCCACCCCATTCTGCTCCAGGACACTGGATTTACAGGCTCTAGAGTCCTGCACAAGACTTTTCGTCTTGATAGGAAGTTTTGTATTCTCTTGTGGGGCAGGATCTGTTAGAAGACAAAAGTTTCACACATTTTCAAAAGCATAACATTATATCATGGACCTCTTACACAGCACAAATATCAGGTATAAACTTACATGAACAGACAGAGCGGTGATCTACAGTGATGGCCTCTAGAGCTTCATCTTGATCTCTGTTTGGTCTACTACTGTTTTCACAGGCTTTTACTTGCAGAACCTCTTCTTCAAAAGAGGCTTCTTGTTGATCTTCCAAGAGGAGCAGTTCTGTTCCTGGCTGAATGTCCCGACAGACCCTGAGGCCCAATCTTCCATCCACCTCAAGTACACTGACATTGCTCTCTTCCTCACTCTGAGTGCTGCAGGCAAACCTGTGGAGGCAGTTAAACAAGTCTGATTATATAATGTATTGATATGCAAGTTAGTAATTGTACTAAATATAATAATTAATTAATTCTGGCTTAGGCCTATTGCGATAATTGATTAATCGCGGTTATTCTATCTAATCGCATTTATTGAATATAACCGCAATTAAGCAGTTTAAATTTCAACCACATTTTGCCATAGTCAAATAGTCAAACTCTTCCCTCATGCAAAATGAAGGTTTGTCGGTTTAATTTCAGACTGCACTTTATAATATCTTTATTATATCATATTATATTATATAAATTTCACATCTTTAAAGTAAATCATGTGGGCCTATTTTATTATAATGTTCATTACTATATTATATACTATTTCAAGTAAAAATATATATATACAGTGTATATATATATATATATATATATATACACACACACATTAATGCATGAACAAAACAGAATTAATCATCTGCACAAAATTCAAGATAGTGACAGGTCTATTCTGGATAAACTTACCTCATCCAGTACATTTCCTCAGAGATTTCTCTTTTGAACACATTTTGGCATGTATTTTGCAATCCCTGGAGAATAAGAACACATACTTACTTACTTATAGCTATTACTTATCACAGCAACATCTTATTTAAAACTGCTTCTGTAGTCCCATTTGAACATAGTAATGCTTCTAAAAACATTTGTGCAATATCAGGTGAGAAGAAAATTAAGTAAATGCTGCTAATGTCTTGAAGCACATTTGCTGTAGTGGTGCTAAACAAACAAACCTGTCAGCTGTATGGTTCAAAATGAAATTTAAAAACACAGTGGTATGCATACCTCCTCTTTTTCCTTCCTGATTATTTTGTCAGGTTCCTCCAGACCTAGCAGAGTGCCTTTCTCTAGCACTCGCCCAACACACCACAGACCCAACTGTCCATCTTCAGCCAGAGAAGGACCCAGGGTGAGCCCTCGCGGTATTGATCTCAGCACACTGTGGATGGAGTCTCTCATGTTCCCAGAGCCTTTATCCCTCCAAAAGTCTGTTGCCACTAGATCAAAAATAACAAACACCACAATAAGACAAGATAGTACTCTCATGCTTACATTTTGAAAGCTGTAGTGACATGCAAGGGTGAATGGACAGCACTTACAAAACATAATAATTACAATAATTGTTATTTGGTTGTGCATTTACATATCTTTTTCATTATGTTAACTCTATTTTTCTTTCTATTGTCTTTCCTTATATTATTGTTTTTCAGACCCATAAAAGATAAATATGTCTAACACTGTTTTAAGGAGAGTCCCTTATAATTTACTCTGGTTTTACAGTAATAACAATAATGGTTGCAACTATTGGTGATTTTTGTACTGTGAATTGCATGGTTGGTTAGATGCAATACGAATTAATGCTCGGAATACAAATGAATGCTTGTTGCGATTCGAATAAATGCAGTCCTTAATTTGAAAATGCACAATTTTCATTAAAAAAATGGTAAATTCAAGACTTTAGTTTTCCTGTTAGTAAGTCTATAAAGCAATATGCAGTTTGAAATCTAGAAAGTATTATGGAGAGCAGAGCTAGCTGATGACAAACACGTTATGGAGTAAACAGCAATTTCCTATAGATCTTCAGAAAATACGTTTAGTTTGTTTTGTTTTTGCTGTGTATGTATAAAGCGTCTTTATAGATGCAGGTTGTACTCAAACCCAGCGTTCATCGAATAGATAACTGGTCGAATCTGCAAACATAAGAATGAGGTTGAGAACAAGTTTTCAACCAACTCAGGACTATATTTCCTCTGCCCACTCGAGGGTCTTGTTTATCCACCCAAAAACTCCGGGAAAATTATCGTTCTCCAGCCAACGGTGCATCGACCGGAAGTCAGGTAGCTTGCTGTTACAGAGAAACGGTTCCCTCTAGAAACAACTACCGCTGCAGTGCACTCGCCCTCTCCAAATAAAGCTGAATGTTCGTTTTGTTTTGAATGTATGTCAATAAGATAATTTCTGTGTATGTTAAAGAAGATATTCATGACTATAATATAAAGGAATTTAACACATGTTGGCAAAGTGTCTGTGTCCTTTATGTATTTTAACCACTGCCATTCTAGATCAGTGATTTTAACTATAGAATTAGGAGAAGATCAAATTAATTTTTAATTCTTCATGAATACTGTTCCTGATAGTCGACGTGCATAAATGTTACTATATGATTGGCTGTGTATTAATATCAATTATTTATTAAACATTAAACATGACCTTTGTTTTCGTTTGAGATATTTCCTGGTTGTGAATGTGGTAGTTGTGTGTATGATATTTTTCTGAGATTTATTTTTTATTTTTTTATGTTTTAATCATTAAGCAGACAAACTTTCTAGCACACGGTGGCGCTAGAGACACATCTCTAATTTACATGCCTTCCCTTCAGGCGGGAGAGAGGAGTAGCCTACAAGGTGAAGGTAGGCTACTACAGACAAATTGTTCTTGTGGACGTTTTGGGGATGAAAAGAAAGGGACAAGTATAGTTTAAAGCTAAAAGACCATCTATTGTTTTCTGATTTACCAATATTGTGATATATTTTAATATGGTGTTTTGAATGTTTCCACGCTGGTTTGCCTACAGTGTCAATACAAACGCAAAACACTGAAAAACAGACACTCAAATCAAACTATAAGATCTACTGCTTGATCATTCTACATGTTTTAAATTCAACAAGTTGTAAATGTCTACGTTCATTTACTTGCAAATAATATACCAAAAAAACCAGCTTTATCACTCCATTAGAGCCTCCTAGAAACTAAACTATTCCTATCAGATTATTTTGCTATTTGCTACTTTTGTATTTGGGCATTATGATGTATGCATTTTGAAGAAAGTGCATTGAATAGACCTTTAGATGATGTAAGTGACCCGGCCTTCTTTGCCATGAATGTGAATCTGTAATGGATGGAGAGACCGTAGGCTAATAAAATAAATATGTTACAGTAATCTAATATGAACAAGTTTGTGCCTAAGGGCCACATTTTCCTTTTGTTATGCTACATGAAACAAATGTTGCAGTTTAATTTAGAATGGACAATTACATTACTAACTACAATTTTTTCATGTAATTTGAAATCAGTAACTGACTACAATTTAAGTAATCTGCCCAGCACTGTTCCTGATACAGTGCTGGTCAGAATTATTTGCCCCCTTGGTAAATATGATCAAAGATGGCTGTAAAAAATACATCTGCATTGTTTATCCTTTTGATATATTATTTTTTTTTAAATGAAAAAATCGAACCTCTTATTGAAGTAAAATAATTGAAAGGGAGGGGAGGGGGATCACATTATGAAATAAATGTTTTTCTCCAAAACACATTGGGAACAATTATTTGCCCCCTTTTATTAAATACTTTTCGCAACCTCCTTTTTCCAAGATAATAGCTCTGAGTCTTCTTCTATAATGCCTGATGAGTTTGGAGATCCTTCAGATTCCCAGATCCATGTTGGTGCTTCTTCTCTTCAGTTCAGCCCACTCATTTATAGGGTTCAGGTCAGGGACTGGGACGGCCATTGCAGATAATTGGGTTTGTGCTCAGTGACACATTTTTGTTTTGATGTTTGTTTTTGGATCACTCTCCTGTTGGAAGATTTTTTATCTGTTGGTATTTGATCGAATCAATGATGCCATGTATCTGAACAAGATTTCCAGGACCTCTGGCAGAAAATTAGGCCCACAGCATTAAAGATACAGCAGAGTATTTCATTTTACCCATGGGGTACTTTTTTATCCATGTGTGCACCAAACTCTGTGTATCAAAATCTGACCATAGAACGTTTGAAAAGTAACTGACACCACTGGAACTTCAAACGGGACAGGTTCTATGGTCCAATGAAACAAAAAATTAGCTTTTTTGGCAGCAAACACTTAAGATGGGTTTGGTGCACACAGGGATAAAAAAAGCATGTATATACATTATACATAATGTATATAAAGCTGCATATAATTTTAAAATGCAACAAAAAAAATGCTCAAAAAGATTTTAACAAACTGTTTACCATGTCATATGACCATTAACCGACATCAGAGAACTGTGAACTTTATTTTATTATTATTTGTTATTATTATTGCCATACTTTTATTATTGACCTAATGTATTAATTTAAAATTTAAGGGCTTAAGAGGGTTTAGCTAAAAAAAAAAAAGAATCCCTGCATTGCATGTAAATATGAAATGATGGGAATTTGTACATTTGAATGTGTTTAAAGACAAAAGCAATCCAAAGACAGTAATACATGGTTATAGGACTCACTGAGTGATAATAATTAAAATAAAATGTAATGAGTTCGTCAGGAGCTGATTAGATATGCAATGTTGAGAAAAACACTTGTTAAAAGTGAAATGATTTGTGTGAATCCAGTGATCATAAGCTGTGGGTCTCAGTTTTCAGTGATATAGGCTCATGACTAGTGGCGGGTCTGTATGTGCAGTTCCACAAACCTGGAAGACTTCTGAACGTACACTACCGTTCAAAAGTTTGGGGTCAGTGAGAATTTTATTTTTATTTTTTGGAGGAAAGAAATCAATACTTAAAGGAGCTGTATGTAAGATTGTGGCCAAAACTAGTACTGCAATCACTGTCAAATTGCTGTAGAGTGGTGTATCCCCTCCCCATCCTCCCTGACTCGAGGTTGCCAGATCGGCTGCAGGATCCAGCAGGAACGTGATGAGCTGCAGCTGTGGTAACTAGAGCAGAGCTGGCAACCCGGATGCCGCAACACTACTGACTTCGTGATTGGTAGATAGGTGGAGGGTGGAGCATCAGACCAAAACACAACATGACAACATCGACATCAGTTGAGGGCTGCAACTGCACTTTTTAAATGACAATATCCTGGCCAGACTACTGTTGTCAGTGATATAAGTATTTGAAATGTACATGATTTCTTAATGTCTATTGACATTTCAGGGCCATTTTATGATTAATTGAAATAAATTTCTTACATACAGCTCCTTTAATTTGATCGAAAGTGACAGTAAAGACTTTTTTTTTTTTTTTTTTTTTTTTTTAAGTTTTCTGCAGACATATAAGTAAAGACATTTATAATGTTACAAAAGATTCTATTTCAAACAAATGCTGTTCTTTTGAACTTCCTATTCATCAAAGAATCCTAAAAAAAAAAAAAAAAAAAAAAAAAAAAACTGTACAACTGACAGACCAACAACTGTTTCAACATTGATAATAATAATAAATGTTTCTTGAGCATCAAATCCTCATATTATACTGATTTGTGAAGGATCATTTGACACTGAAGACACTGACACTGGTGATGCTGAAAATCCAGCTTTGATCACAGGAATAAATTACACTTTACTATATATTCACACAGAAAACAGCTGATTTACACTGGAATAATATTTAATACTATAACTGATTTTTGTTGTATTTTTAATCAAATAAGCGCAGCCATGGTTAGCAGAAGAGAATTCTTTTAAAAGTATTTAAAATCGTACCGACCCCAAACTTTTGAACGGTAGTGTATATAAGGAGTAGACTTTTATAGAAAGGAAAATTTAAAACATAAAGAAGTAGAATCAATGAGTTGTTAATAATACTGGCATTACTGGCATACGAATAACATGTAATCAATAGAAAAGTAACTGTAGTCTGATTACGAATATTGTAATATAATCTAATTACAAGAATTACATTTTTAATTTAATCTGATTACGTAATCCAGATTACATGTAATCAGTTACTACCCAGCACTGATCAGGAACTGTTACATACCAGAATGGAACCAGGTGTTTGGAGGGAACTTGGAAGGGCATGACAGGTTTTCATAGGCCAAAAAAGTCTATTACATTTGAATTCAAAAAATAAAAATACTAAGACAAATGATGTTTATTTGGTATAACATACACCAGTGAATCATGCACAATGAGGTAAAGAGTGTGCACAATGCACATGGTAAATTTGAATTTCAGAATGCTTTTTACATTTATTTTGACCACAATAGTCATCAGAGTAGAAGAGGACACATTCAGTCGCAGTACATATCTTAAGCAGCTAATGCTTGTTCTCTACTTGTTTATGCGTTTGTCTCTGCATTGATATTCTATCAGTTTGTTTCTGTGTTTTTTCTTCCTTCATTAGCTGTTACTTTCCCCTTATCCTCTTATCTCTGTCTCCTTGTCCCAGTTATTGATCTCACAACTCTGGTAAAATTGATCAACCAGCCTTGGGTTTGTCGAATTGTTACAGTCAGTCAAGGACTTGCACATCTTGTGTCTGTTAGTAATGAGTCGATTGTCGAGGATGAGGAGATGGTCTAAAACCAGTCACTCTGTAAATTACCAACCAGCCCTCGTATTGAATGCAGAAAGGATCTTGATCACTCAGCCTTCTCACATCACCGTGGCAACATGGATCAGTCTAACCCAGGAGAGGCTCAGAGGGCAGATTGCTTGTTCAACAGAGAACACTTTCTCATATAACTTCACCGCTTCTTTTTTTTTACATTAAAAACAGAGAAATAGGGCTTTCAAGGGACCTGACTTCATAATTGTCTGAATGGAGCTACACTCATATTTTGAATCAAGATTGTGTCCATACATGCTTGTGAGAGATGTGTATGGAGGGAGATTTCAAGTGGTCAAAAACTGCATCCTTCTCTCCATTTGTCTAATGACTGTTGTTTACTAACGAAGCCTCTCTTTACTTTATGAATATGTTTTATGGAAGTTTGTTCACATTATTTTAACTGATGGTTATACAGATATCTAGATCTTGTTCTGAATATCAACAGGGCTGTGAATTGGAGGAGGGAGTCACTTGTTTCACTCTTGAAACAACCTTGTGGTTTTTTTTTACATTGTTACTTCATCCCAGTTTGCCTGATTATACCATGCCCAAAAAGTATGTA